ATCTCACTCGAATACTGCACGACAACCGATTAAAAGGTAATTATGACACACCTCCTGTACTCAGATTCATGATTTTCTACACCTCTTCCAGCTCTCACAAACTCTCAGAAGTCGTAAAGAAGTGTTCGCAAAACTTGCAATATACTCCGATTACAATCTATCAAAATGGCTGACACACAAGGAGGCGAAGCGTTATCATGGCGCCCTAAGTAAAGGATATCACTGCGCATGTGTGGACCTCCTGCATTTTTCTTGATTTCCGTCTGTCCTGAAGCCTCATAGAAAGTTATTTTTGTGCTTTGACGCTGGCGTTGTTTCCGGATGCTTATGTGAGCCTATTTACCGATGTTTTAAGTTCATCACTTGAAGGTCGGAGTCAAGGGCTGCTACTCACACTCAGAAAGAACCAGTGGGAGTTACCCACCTGCTTGATAGACATTTTTACTAATGCTTCAGTAATTTTTCCGAAACTATAATACACAAAGTCGCAAATGATCCTCAGAGTCTGTTTGCATTTTGTCCATTCCGACTAGGAACCATAGGGGCTTATATGTAATTGGATAAGAATCGAAAGGGATATGTGAATTCTGTTTTTGGTCAAAAGTTATAAAGACGTAATTGATCTTGCATACTAGGATGTTTGTGTCATCAACTTATTATCTTTTAATGCCTGGTAACATATTAAATAATGTATATTTGAAATATCCTACTATTTAAAGCGTATATATAACGACATTAGCAAGAAGGTACACATTTGAGTTCGCGTACTTGCTCAACGCAAAAGATATATGCAATGAATTGCCTTTGCCAATTCCCTGTAGTAGACTATAGGCTCGTGATACGTTGCAAAACGATTCCATAACACATGCTGCACGTGGTCGCGTGAGATTCTCGCTGAGATACCGGGATATTGCTGACAACGGTGTAAAACTGCCATTAGTCCGGTTTTGTGTGATGATTTTTACTTTAAGAAAAACGTTAAAGCTATACACGTAATGCATTCCCTACCCATATAGTTATGATATTGAGAAATAAGATGGTGTTATCTGCTATAATGTTATTGTAGTACATTATAAAGAAAGCCTTCCGATTATATATCTATGAGTTCACTTTCAGCATCCGTACCATGTTATTTGTGCAGCAACACGGTATTATGACGCGATTTCTTTACACGCATGTATGCACCTGCTTCCCACAGATCGCGCTATACCATCGTATGTTTGCTGGTTTGGAGAATGATATGGTAATGTTGCCCAATTCCTTAACCACTAACTCATGGATTTGCTAACAATTACTGAAGAATTTCACAGCAATGTAAGTTTGCCAATTTACCTCAAACACAGACTCTATCACGCGATTCTGTAAGAATTTACATGCAATGTGCGTCTCTGTGGCTTCAATCATAGATGCACTTCCACCGCTATATATACTCATGCCAATAATGGTTGTCACCCACTTCAAAAATTATTGGTAGGGGCGTGAGGTATGTGTGGGGTTAAGGGGTGGGGAGGGTGACAACCATTATTGGCATGAGTATATGTTTGCTGGTGTGGAAGAATGGTACGGAAATTGGCCCATTTCCCAGGCGCACACCCATGGTTCCCTCAACAAAATGCTGTATTTTCTTCCAAGTTCGTCTGCTCTGTTGGATAGTGTGACGTCTGTAATTGTACCAACTGCAAGTGGTGGCTGGACAGCACGGGATACGGTGGTACCAGTCAGTTTGATTTTTTTCAACGTAGTATTTTTGTTCTTTTAAAAGTTTGGCTAAAGCGTTTCCACCACAATCGCCAGCAGCTGAAGGGATGGTGTAATCTACGGTCCATGCAGGTAGCAAAGGCACTGTAAGTCCCCATGGTCCCTAGTATGGTGATCTACCTTCAGTTGGCTATTTTATAGCCCATTTTCATACTGTATTGACCTAATTTGAAATCAATTTTAGAGATACATGCTAGTTTTATTTGATACTGTGATATTCTAGTTGGGGTTTCCTGTCTTTCGTTGACAGGTTTTATAATTTACATATATTTATAGGTAAATTCAGAACTTGTGTTTTGTCACGATATGGCTGAAATATTGCCGATGTGACTGTAAATCTTAACTCACTCACTCCTGCTCAGTTACGGTTTGCTGAACACCAGGCTGCAGGATTCTCAGTTTGTTGGAGGTGAGGTGAAATTGGGTTTTACGTCGTGCTTGAGAATATTTTGCTCATATGACGACGTGCATGCGTGTGTGTAATGTGCGGCTGCGTACGTGTACTAGCCCAGACTTAGCTGGTTTTATAGTGCTAGCCCACTGAGATACCATGCCGCAGTGAAGCATGAATACCCCACTCAGACACATTATACTGACTCGAGCCGACCAGTCCTTTGTTGTACCCATTAATGCCGAGCGCCAGGCAGGGACCAACAAGTACCATATTCTTTTGGTATGACGCGGTCGGGGATGGAACCCGCGACCTTCCGCTCTCCGGGCGGACGCTCTAACTTCCCACTACACCACGGATGCGGTCAGTCTCGGTTTGGGGTAGCCAGGGGAGATTAACAGGATGACCAGCTGGTATCTAGATGATATTGTTATCTACCAGACATCTGGTTCCATCTCCCATCAGTTACTGTTGGTGGCTCAGAAGACAATCAGGTTACAGGGACTGCCAACACACAAATTCATCATTTTGATAGTACCGAACAGCGGATTCTGTTCATACAGCAGATCACTCTTAGAAATGTTCTACCTAGAACATCCCTAGTTTGAGATGAGACTCTTATCTTCCAGACATCTGGTACTATCTCTAGTGATATTGTAAATGACATCTCAAAGAAGTATGTCTTTCTGGAAGCAATGGACATTAGACGGTGTCAATATCTTGAGGGATGTTATGTACTGCTTCAGTAAATAGTGTGTTACTGTTTGGAAAAATAAATTCACTGCAAGGAATTTATGTAATAGTTTCTTGGATATTGACAGTGGCCATCATCTTTGAGGGAGTTCGGGAAACACCTGATCCATTGTCTCTTGTTATATAGATGTTTTGCTCATGCTGTCAATCATTGGCTTGTCCTGGTTCAGACTGAGGCCGCAGTGACAAAGCTGAAACTCTGGGGTTCAACAACGATCTCACTCTCACACTGTTGCTCTGGGGAAACCACATTTTGTCCTTACAGAATTCCATACATTCGAACATCTTGCAACACTGACGAAATACTATCCAAAACTTAAGGCACATTGTCGTGCAGAGTTGCGTCCATTGAACCATTTTACCCGAGGCAACAATACCAACTTGTTGTGCATCAAAAAATCGCATTAAGTCAATGGAAGTCCAGTGTTGATTCAAGTTCCAAGGGTGATTATTATAAATATTTCAAAACCCAACCAATTTTAGAAAAATATCTCCTTCTTCCAATAGCATACATTACCCATTTTTGAAGTTAAGAACAACAGTTACTAACCATAAATACCAGTTGAGGACTGGCCGATGGATGAGCATTCCACGTGAAGACCGTCAATGTCCATTTTGTGATTCAAACGCTGTTGGAGACGAGTTTCACTACTTGTTTAGATGTGAGGCTTTTCTCCAACTGTGACATCAGTCTCAGGAACACTAAATATTTAGACTTTTCAAAATGACCTTCTTTAAGAAACTCTTAAAACTACCAGCCTTCGTAAGAGCGGCCTTAAAGGCCTCTCTAAATTACTGAATCACGTATGTAATGCATTTAAAACATGAAGTACTGTTGTTATTTATAAGCTGTTATCTTGTACATTATGTAATTGTTTATCTCATGTTCCGCCGATGGTGATTTCCCGAGAATATAGAGAGTTTGGAGTGTGGAGTCAACAATATCAACAATGACTTGTGAAAACTGAACTGAAAAAGAAACATATGACCATGTGTTCGGATCCCGTTCGTCCCGATCAAGTCATCACATACCGGTTTTCGTGTTTTAGACACACAGAAATGAAATCATCTCATTTAAAACTATGAACCTATATATTTAATATAAGTTGTAGGCTTCTCTCGAGGGTAATACGGTCTGATGTACGCCTTTTTGCAGCAGTGTCACCCGAGCCGAGTGTAATCGAGTCTGGACCAGAAAACCCAGTGATTAACGTCATGAGCATCGATCTACCCAGTTGGGAACCGATGAAGTCAGTGAGCCTGACCACCCGACCCCGTAAGTCGCCTCTTACGACTAGCATGGGTTACTGAAGATCAATTCTAACCCGGGTCTTCACGGATTCATGTGGAGCTTGACTTCCAATTGTTTCCCGTGCTCCCACCTACACTGAAATATGTTCGCAGGTGTCTCCTTCGCAAGTTGGTTGGTTGTTTTGTTTAACGCCGCACTTAGCAATATTCCAGCTATATGGAAACCGTTTGTGAATAATCGAATCTGGACCAGACGGCAAAATTATTGAAAGCTTTAAATCATATATAATGGGAATAAAATCACCAGGTTAGTGATACGGAATTATATAAGGTACTTTACAGGAGGTCGATTGAGTATAAATTGTGCAGTTCATTCAACGGTCAAAGCGATGGAAGCGTTTGTGAGCCCGATAATACCGAGCCCGAGCCGAGACGGGCCGCCATTTTGTTTCGATCTACTGTCACGCCTTTTATTTAATTACCGCTTTTCCTCTAATTAGCGCCTCTGGCGCTTATTTTCAACGGACCTTGTATTTTTGAACGGACCCTGTATTTTTGAAATGCGGGGATGAGGTACATGAAGTTATGATTTAAGGACCATTCCTTAATATATTTATTTTTGACCAAGGGAGAATACATTTTGCGAAAAATGCAAAGGTCTATACCCGGCGCTTATTAGAGGCCCGGCGCTTATTTCTTAAAGCACTGCTTTATCCCTGCAGTTATTAGAGTCCGGCGCTTAATAGAGGAAATACGGTATATCCTATATATATAGGTCAGACTTATCAATATATCAGAGTCGGTAGCCTACGAGGCAACTGTACAGAGAACATTCACAACGAACACCAACAACTTAATGCTGTTTATTTTTTGTTCATTTCTGTAATACAAAGTGAAGATGAAGCACAAACAGTTTCTTAACTTGTCAAAATATTACACAAACAGACTTACACAGACAATAAACAATTGCTGAAAAATGCGAATTTTAACAGTCGTCTGCACGGCTTTCTTCAAATATCTTGGCAGTGTAATCAGAGCTGGTATGCCATGTACGTTCTGTATGAGTGAGTGAGTATGCTTTTAGCAATATTCCAGCAACAATAGCATGGCGGAGGACACCAGAAATGAGTTTCACATATTGTACCCACGTGGAAAACAGTTAAATATCTTCGGCGTGACGAGCGAACGCTTTAACCACTAGGCTAGATAATTCATGCTGTCACTGAACACGCTATTTTCATAAGTTTTCATGATTCATATTATTACCATTAGTAATCATAACAATAATGGATTATCGGTGTTTAAAACAACTTTAAGGTGGAACTATCCTGCCTGCTGTCCGGCCGTTTTGTGATGTAATATATTGAAGCTCCCGTTCCGGGAAACAAATGCCATTTTTTAAGTACACTTTTTGATTGTTCATAATATAGTATATTTACTAACTCAAAATACATGCGCGACATAACCACTGTACAAGCACAGGCCAAATAGGTGAATACAATATTTCACATTAGGGAGGAAATCTTACGCCGGTTTTAGCATTAAATACTGTGTAATGATAGTCAGTTCGATACCTAAATTGAGCTTCACACGTTGCACCCACATGGAGAATCGAACTCGAGTTTTGCGTGACAGGCAAACACTTCAAGCTAAGGGGTAAACCGCTGCCCTGCGTTACATCATCACCCTGACCGCAAAACATGGACATAAAACGTAAACTGTCGAGATTGACAAGCAAAACCACCATTAAAACGATTATGAAACTGACTGGATTGTACTTTGAAAACCTACTGAAGGACAGTCTGGCATTGAGCGAGGGCACATGTTTAGCTAAGACTGCCTATAGAGAAAACGGCCGGAAAACTCGTTCACATGGACTTTGATGATGCTCTGAAAAAAAGTCAAAATACATGTATTATTATCACCCACGTGGAAAATCGAACTCGTGTTTTCTCGTGAAAGGCAAGCACATTAACCACAAGGGTAAATATTGCCGCGTTAAACAAAACACAAGGGTAAACCGCCGTCCTGTTACCCTTGTGTTCGCAATGTATGATCACACTGGCCGCAAAACATGGAAATAAACCATATACTTTCGAGATTGATAAGCGAAACCACTATTAAAAAAGCTAATGAAACTGACTGAATTGAACATTGAAAACCTACTGAAGGTCAAGCTGCCATTGAGCGAGGGCAGGTAGCTACTGTAATGGGCGAGGAACTCGTTCACGTTGACTTTGTCATCGCCGTCGCGGTCAGCCTTTCTGATAATACGCTGAAAAGGGTCAAAACATTATTATTACAATTATTGTTATTGTACAGATTAAAATAATTAAATGCAGCTGGTGGTTTGGTCATCCCAGACTAACGCTTAGTCTGTGAATACATATAAGTTTGATATAACTAAATAATTCCATTTAAATTGAAAAGGAGACCATGTGAGATGGGAGATTGGAACCTGAGGAATCTAAACTTGCTGATTTAGGGCTTTATATAATTAGCATTTCAGAAAGGGAAAATAATCTGTGTGATTCAGGGACTGAGACCGATAGTTAGGGTGGTTGAGCTGGTTAAGCTCATCCTCAGTTCAGGTGACATGCTCCCTTTACACGCAACCCAGACAGAGAATGGGACATCTCCTGGGAAGCGCTGCCCAGTCGAACGCATAAAGATATTTTCAAAGTTTTCAGAGGATGCGAAGACGCCCAGGCACAACCGCCTCCTGCATTACTGTTCCAAGCTGCAAGCTCGGTACTTCACCAATGACAAGAGATTAGGAAGTACCAAAAACTTGGAACTTGAGATGCAAGAATGTATTTTTCTGAATAGTGTCACTCACATTAGTGTCAAAAGGAACAGAAAATTCTTTGATATAAATGATTTCATTGGAGTTATCAAAAACGCCAAAGTCATGTTTGTTGTCCTGGGTGCCGTTGTACAAAACAACCTTAGCGCTAAGACTATATTAAGGTATGGGAGTTACGGTCACCTTAGCGCTAAGGCTATATTAAGGTATGGGAGTTACGGTCACCTTAGCGCTAAGACTATATTAAGGTATGGGAGTTACGGTCACTTTAGCGCTAAGATCGCTTTCTTCAACGGTACCTTGGACGTGTCTAAGATGGAATGAGTGCTCCTTCCAGAGAATTGTATAATTAGGAGATAATCCTATTGTGTTTACATTTTGGAAGTGATTATAGTTGGTGGAACGCTGCTAAATGTCATTTAAAACCGAACGCCCAATGTTGTTGTTTTGAGCGTGCTCTTGCTTCTGGATTCAAGAACGATTTGTTCCAACTCATCAACAGCCTTGAAACGTTTAGACAGCGGCTCGGCATGTCCATTATCAACCTCTGAATCGAAATTAAATGAGTAATAAGTGATAAATTGACGTTCAATTAAGTTTGCGTAGTTACTATATAAAATTGAAAAGCAAACATTTATGTTTATTGAAAGATATATTAGCGTGACATTGAGGCCTAGACTACAACGCTAAGAAACTGGACATTATTACGTTTACATACTCATACCTCCGGTACTTAGAGTTACTTTGGGTGATTGTTCAGTCATTTCATGTTGGAACCAGGCTGGGTCAATATTTTCCTCCATATCTGATCCAAACACCTCAAAGAAATCGCCGAGGTCAAACGTAACAGTTTCAGACGACATGTTTGTTTACTTTTGTAAGGGTTAATGAGTGCAAAATATTCCTACGCGCAGTGAACCGGCTCTCAGAAGTAGTTATTAAAAATCGTTCACTTCTAATTTTTTAGTAACAGCCAATCAAAAACGAGCATACTTAAATGTGATGGTAGAATTATCATTTTCCGGGACTGCCTCAACACATTGGGATCATTACCACGGATGTTCCTCAGAGTCAAAACAAGAAGCATGACCGAGATTGAGGATTGAGCCACGCCAACATGTCGTTTAAGATACCGTGTTTGTGAAAATGCTGGACATCCAGTGACAGAGGGCAGGTTCATTAAATTCGTTGCATATAATATTCTTTTTTATATTTTAACATTTTAATGATTAGAATTGACTGATCCTGAGCAGCAAACAGGAAGCCTTCTGTTTCACTTTTCAGGTCATTGTTAATTATTGTTAATTATCTCCACTGAATTCTATGTTTACTGGGCTTATTATGAAATATAAATGGTTTTCAATCATCATAATAATATATCAAACCGAACATACATGTATATCTATCGCAGTTGGAAGTTGACTGACAGAGTGAAGGAGTATGGTTTTACGCCGCTTTTAGCAATATTCTAGTGATGTTACGGTGGGGGACATCAGAACTGGGCTTCATACATTGTACCCATGTGGGGAATCGAACCCGGGTCTTTAGCGTGATGAGCGAACGCTTTAACCACTGGGCTACCCGTTACGCGACAGAAGCTAAACTCCAGCTGTATTACGCTGGCCTGTATTTAATTAAATGCTGGCAAGGCCATTCAGTGGTCATCAGCATGAGTCAACGTAGGACACTGTAACCACCCAATCCTCATTAGCAAGCTCTTACGCTATGCATGGGTACCCGTAAGGCCCACGATACCCTGGAACACCCACGACAGTTGCAAAATACAACTTCTTCACGCCATTGGAAGAAAGTAATTATACTTGAAAATGATTTTTATTTCCTACCTCTGCAGTGAAATCAGTTATTTTTGTGCCGCTTGAACTCAAAGCTCTCTTTAATTCGCTGGCATCAAGGGTCCCACTGTCGTCTCTGTCATTATCCTTGAACGCGTTCTGTTGTTTGGCTTCACTGGAAACACGGTAAATGACGGTTATGTAACTGAACACCTTGAAATGTCAGATATTGCCTGGAAATTTGATCCAATCAGCTATTCATCGTGATACTGTTCAACAGAACGGGAAATACACGCGTAGGTGCGTTTGTGTCAGGTAGCTCAATCTGTCCTAGGTGAATTAGTCAAGGGTCCGGATTTTCGATTTCCGATAATTTCCTCCTCCCATTATGTTTATAAGTGATATTATAAGTGTAGAGACAAATACCTCACGTCATATCCACGACTTACCATAGCGGTGACCTTGACATGTCCCCCTCTGTCCTCATTATTTATCTTACCTCACACATAAATGTCGTTTTCTGATTGGCTGAGTGTTCTTCTATTATTTTCAGTGTACCCCGCTTACAAGCGAGTAACATTTCTATGTACCCCGCTGGGAATGTCGAACTCATTTGGTACTTCGTGGTGCTAATTCTTTATCTCAAATAACAATGAATCACGTCATGTACGGAAAATACCGATGTTTTGCGAATGCAAATCGATGGAAGGGAGATAACTCTAAATCTGTTTTTCTTGTCTGCAAAATCTAGCGATAGCTACAAAAAAAATTGTACCCGTGCTTCAAACAATTCAAAATTAACATTGAGGTGTTCGGTAAGATAAATACGTTTTTCACTAGTCTCTTGGGGCCCATGGGTTGATGTACCCTCGATGTTTGTTTATGTCCCCCTCGCCCTTCGGGCTCAGGGAACATAAACAAACATCGAGGGTACATCAACCCATGTCCCCCTCGAGACCAATGAACAACTTATAATATATCACGGCGGGGCACACCAGAAATGGGTTTCACACATTGTACCCATGTGGGGTATTCAGCGTGACGAGCGGACGCTTTAACCACCAGGCTACCCCACCGCCCCTTGTTATTTATAAGTGTAATTATAAGTTTAAAGACAAATATCTCAAGTCATATCCAAGACTTATAACCCGTGAAGATCCGGATTAGAATTGATCTTCAGTAACCCATGCTTGTCATAAAAGGCGACGAACGGGATCGGGTGGTCAGGCTCGCTGACTTGGTTGACACATGTCATCGTATCCCAATTGCGTAGATTGATACTCATGCTGTTGATCACTGGATTGTCTGGTCCAGACTCGATTAGTAACAGACCACCGCCACATAGCTTGAAGAGTGCGGTGATCAACAGCAAACCAACCAACCCAATGACAGAGAGGGACATGTCAAGGTCACCGCCATGGTTAGTCGTGGATATGACGATAGGTATTTGTCTCTACACTTATAATCACACTTATAAACAACGAGGAGCAATGAGCCAAGTGCTGTAGATATTTGCTTACTAGAATCGTAACTGCAACAGTCTGCTCGACGCAGTCAAAAATTCAGCCTTGGTCACTCTACGGTCGCTGTCTTTATCAATGTCCATGAAAATATTCTGAAACCGAAATGACGAATGATATTCAACAATCTAAAAAATCATTCGTGACCAACTCGCGCTATTCCGGACAAGCCCTCTGGAAGGATTTCATATTAACGTATGAACTACTTAAAACGCCGCACTCAGCAATACGCCAGCTATATGGCGGCATTCTGTAAATAATCGAGTTTGGACCAGACAAGCCAGTGATCAACGGCATGAGCATCGAAATAGGGTTTAAGAATCACAAATGGGATTTGTTTTATTGAATATGCAAATACATAATAGCTACAATAAATCGAAAGAAGATACTAAAAAATGACGTTAAAATATTTCTCAGACTGAACATTCATGGAACCTTCTTGCTGTAATAGGCGCCTAGCACGTGGGTGATGTAAAGCAGACGCCCAATGACAGCAGAACAATGCAGATGTGTGACAAGTGTCAGTTGGCTACTGAAGTAATATGCTTTTCGTTGTGTTTTATAACTGATCTCTTTGCGTGGTCAGTACATCTTGTCTGCAGGTTCTGTATGAATGGTTCCTGGTGGGTTTCTCAATTCAACTCAATTAAAGTCACAACAAAAAGAGTATTACGTTTCCATTCTTGTTTATTGACAAAAAAATGTAGAAGAAAGTTAGTTCAAAACAAACCAGTCAAATGTTCAGAAACGAATAATCCTACATATTTCTCCTCCTTCCCTGCCTACCTAAATCCTACTTAAACTCAGTTATCTTCTGATAAGGTCCCTTCCTTCCTACTCTATTTCTCCCCCTTCCCAAAACCACACTAAATCAATACGATATCAAGACACGAGGTCGTAGATTAACTTACCCGATGCGGGTATCGGACCACTGACGATTCCCTACCTGGGGCATTCGTCACCACTCGCCCCTTTCCGTAACCTCCATCGCTATTCGGCTTGTCCCGGAATAACATGAGTTGGTCACGAATGGACTCGTCCCCCTCTCGATGCTCGTTATGTGCGAAAATACGACAAACCAATCAGAACGTGCGTAAATGACTGCGGTGCTTTGGTAAAAATAATCCCGAGTACTTAAATCGTTTATGGCATTATGTCATTGTTTCAAAAATCATGAAAAATATATATCGTCATATTGAAAGTACAAAGAACTTAGCTAACAGGATTTTGCTGCCTATTATGGTGTTTTGGATAAGAATCATGCGATTGACGGTGAGAGATTCAAATACAAGCACGTGCGTTTGTTGACATAACGGCTCTCATGGGTCCAACTGAGGGTGTTTTTAACGATCTTGCGGGCTTGCTATGGAGATTGTACGTGCGCTTCCAACAATTTTAGGAAATGTAATTATATATCGCTACGAGTTTCAAAACAATAATATTATATCTGTATGTAACTAATCAACTTTAATCTTTAACATTGGGCATATATTTCAATTCTCTGGGAATATTTTAGTCTGACCTTCTTGTGGTCATTCATATATTTTTCAGCGAATTCAGTTAAAATTCCACTTGTGGTATGACAGCAAGGTTACACGTATGTCCAGTTTGAGAAATATACTATCCTAAAAAAGAAACGCATATAGGAATTTCAACTGTATTTTTATGTTTATTTTGAAACATCTTGTAAGCTTTATGAGTCAATGAAATATAGCGAAATTGCACACTGGGAATGCAGACTTATCCGTCTTTGGCACCAACTCGAGGAAAGTCAGTTTGAGTGTCACATGGAGACGTGTGGTGGCGCTGAAGTCAATACCTCGTGTGACCACCGTGGGCATCCAGAACTGCACGGCATCGCCTCGGCATCGAAGGAATAAGTCTCAGAATCTCGTGTTGCCCAATCGCAGCCCAGTAGTGCCTGTGTGAGTTGCTGAAGTGTCTGGGGCTGAGGGTTACGGCGTCGCACCCGTCTGTCCAGGGCATCCCACAGATTTTCGATCGGGTTTAAGTCCGGTGATCTTGAGGGACAGGGGAGCACATTGATGTTGTGGTTCCGGAGGAAGTCTCCACTGTGACGTGCTGTGTGGGGCCTGGCATTGTCCTGTTGAAACAACTCCCTCTGGCGATCAATGCTTGGAAGGAGGTGTGGGCGTAGGATTTCGTCAAAGTACCGTTGAGCTGTCAGGTTGCCCTGGATCATCACCAAATCACTTCTCCTACGGCAGGTGATCACTCACCACATCATAACACTGCCCCGGCCGAATCTGTCCACCTGGGGAACGCAAGCGTCGGCGAAACGTTCACGTCGACATCTGTACACCAGCATTCTTCCATCGCATCGTTCCAATAAAAATCGTGATTCATCACTGAACCAGATTCTACGCCAATTCGGTAGGTTCAAGGCCTGAACGTTGGTGCACCATTGAACTTGATGTCGACGATGTTGTTGTCGAATCACAGGGCCAAAATAAGGTCTTCTGGCACGTAAACCAGCCTCTCTCAACCCGTTCCTGACGGTCTGTGCAGAAAGCCTCCTCAATCCGGGTATTTGTCGAGCGGTACTGGTCGCCGTAGCTGTTCGATGACGCAGGTGATGTACCCGGATGTAGCGATCCTGCGCCGCAGTGGTCGCTCGAGGTCGCCCACTACGAGGGGCATCTGCTACCGCATTCTGCCGGCGATATCTCTCCCAGAGCCGTGAAATGGTGCTTTGGTGAACATTCTTGCGTCGGGCAACTGCACGTTGAGACTAGCCAGCTTCAAGCAAACCAATGGCGATATGACGGTTGGCTTCACTTAGACGTGGCATTTTGCATTCGTCAACAATATTCCAAATACAGTGAATAATCGACAGGCAGCGATCAACCTTTTATACCCACCCATCATTGAGACTATCTGATCCCAAACTTTCACGTGCATTGCATGTGAATTGAGTATTCTGTGACACTACACGCCGAAATTGAAAATCATGCTGTTAAATACGGGTATTTTACGGATGGTGCGTTTTGTTGTGATGTCTCAAAACATAAACACCATAGGACTCATAAACAGAGCAAAACCTTTTGTAGAATGAATCACGTTTTAATTCATTGCTACTTGAAATTGCTATTTTCCGGATGCGTTTCTTTTTTGGGAGAGTATATTATAAAAGTCATTTTTTTAGTTTCTGCTTTGGGATTTAATGTAGCGGGGTTTTTTTTACAAATTTGATTTGCATATTCAATAAAACAAATCCCATTTGTGATTATTGAACCCTTTTCAGAAATATAATTGGAAATATAAGGTAATATCTGGTAATAATTACGTCAGAATATGTCTTTAACAAATATGTTTTTTTTTCTTTCTTTTTAGTTGTACCAAGGAGGTTTAATTCTTTAGAATAAATAGCAAAAACAAAAACAGCAATACAATGTATGAGTACTTCGGTGATATTAAGTACCATTGGGATCAAACAGGAATAGAGTTATCGTTCCTGTTTGATGTAGCTAAAAATTAAACCAACTGCCGCTGTTACATGTCATTGGCTCCTTCCCTCTGCAAGCATTCTGCGTTCTGCTGTTTATTTTGTTGACAGTTACATAGACAGATTCTTTAAAACAAATGCATAAAATCGGTGATTTACAATGTGATTAGGTTGTCTGACAAAACATCCACTTGCACAGTTTGAGATCGATTGGGTCATTGGATGAAGAGATATTTACAAAAACCGGGTCCACATACATTTTATGCCAAACTATAGTAGTCGTTGATTTGTCATCTAACATACAGGTATGATTACACAATGACATTTAGAAAGTGGTCAAATGTAACATATGTTATATTTGGGATTACACTTTCTTAGTAAAGTACAAAAGTACTAGAAATGCCTGACTCTGAGGGTGTGGGTTCGAATCCCGGATGGGACTCAACCCAAAACAGTACTAGAATTTGTACTTTACTAAGAAAGTGTAATCCCAAATATAACATATGTTACAAACATACAGGTAGTTTACTGTCAGGTGTTAACACGGCTCCGATGAAATACAGTATTAATAGAAACATCTTGAGCTTACCACAATGGTTGCATCGTCAATTCCGGAATTTGGGAGACGTTTCTTTAACTCCTGGATGGTAAGAGATTTGCTCTTGTCAGCATCAGCCTGGTCGAAGAAAGCTTCGTTGGTCGCCATGTCGGTGTGTTTCGGATGGGACGTCTGGGTTGAGATGGTTGGCTGTGCAGCTCGACTTGACTGGCTGGATGGTTGACAGTGACCGAGTCCGGAGTGAGAAATACAGCTAGACACGCACAACAAGAACAAAATAAATTGATTGCAGTTCATGGCCATGAAAGCTAAATTCGCGACGTTTCTCGCTTGAATGAGCGTAGCCTTGGCGGAATTTGCAATGCACTGTTATGGCTCGTAGGCGAATCCATTGGGAGTAACGAGGGCGCAGGGGTGCGCGCGCACCCCTCTTTTGTCCTGAAAGTTTTTATAAATGGCCGTGACACTATAATATACTGTTATTGATATCATGTTTTACAGATTAAAATGAAAATGCAGCAGAGGGGGTTCGGGTGATCCTGGCAAAGCAAGAGTATTGGTGGCTGTAACCTTGTTTCGAGCATTGAACGCTGAGCTCCAGATTTTCTTTTAGCGAGCTTTATACTCCGCCGAAGTTTGTCTTTCAAGAATCTTGGCATTCTGGAAATTGTCTCGAACTTGCATTCATTCCAAGATAGGTGTAGGCCTGATCTTTCACAAGATGCTCAATAACTCACACTCACCCCCCACCCCCCTTGTAGCTTGACCCATTCGTCATTAGTTACCTTGCCATATTTCAAATGAAGAGTATTACATTTGTCGAGTCCAAATGTCATGCGAATATCATTAGATAAGGACTCGACACGGAGAACCTGCTCTTTCAAATTGGTATCTCCTTTGGAGCTCGATGTCATCAACATGAACATTGATGCAATTAATCAAAGACTTAGCAAGACCAAGCTTGCAGTATTAGTCTGTTCAAAGAGATTAATAAGCACTGCCCAGAGAAGTCATGACAATAAAATTCTTCACGATTTAATGATTGAACTTGAGAAAACCTACACTGATTTTATTGACATTGATAGAAATCAAAACAGATATAACTGAACACTTAAACTAGCATTAAACCAAATATGAAGAAGCCAGAAATAAATTTTGAGAAATCAAAACAGATGAACACTTAGCATTAAACCAAAAGAATGCAGGACCTTTGCATGACACTCTGAATATGAATTGGAATATGAACAAAATTAGCAACTTGATAAAAGAAATGGAATGTAGTCTTCAATCAGCATGGCCAGATTTTCACACTCTTCAGTATGATAGATATACATTTGACCAGTTGTTAGTTTCCATGAACAATCAGTTAGGTACTTTGTTGAAGTTGCTAGGACCTGAACATTTCTATAAAGAGCAGATAACCATGGAAGAAATAAAAAGTCCTGTAGACAGAATGAAGAGAGAAGAGTATGTTACAATAGCTAAGGCTACAAGGACATCTGCACAGAACCCATGTTCAAGTAAATTCATTCAGTCACAACCAACTGACACAGAACTTAGACCAACATTGGAAAATAAAGTGAAGATAGAAAATCCTGAAATACAAACAGTTCCTCAAGCTAGTTCTTCATCACTAACAAACACAAGTTTCCCAAACCTTGAACCACAGTCAGCACTGTTAGGAACACCACATACCACAAGATACTCCAGGAGAAATGTCAGGCTCATGTTGATTTTCCCAACATTTTCTGGTAAAAGAAGAGAATGGCCTGAATTTAAAGCTGTGTAGAGAGAACTAACTGAACATGGATGCAACAGTAAAACTGCTCTCGCTCATGAACTCAATGAATAAGGTCTGTGTTTTCTACAATGCCGGAAGGATATGAGTTAGTTGTTTTTTACGCCGTTCTTAGCAATATCACAGCGGGGGACAACAGAAATGGGCATCACACGTTGTACCCATGTTGGGAATCGAACCCGGGCCTTTGGCGTGACGAGCGAATGCTTTAAACGCTAGGCTACCCGTCGCTTGTAAGCATATGACATCATGTGGCAAAAGCTTGAAGTATATTATGATGACACAAGTTCAAGTGTTCAAGCTGCTATCGACATCTTACAGAAACTGAAATTTGTTAAAGAAGATGATTATAGGGGCTTGGTAGAACTCAATGATGAAGTTGAAGCCACTTACAATCAGCTTGAAGAACTAGGTCAGTTGGATGCTTTAACTAGGAGGAGTGTAGACGGAATCTCAGGGTTACTCAGTCCTCATGTAAAGGTTGGATGGATGAGAAGGTATCATGACTTATCATCATCCGAGAAGATCAAGCCATTTACACCATTATGAAGTCCCTTGAGAAGGAGATAGATATTGTTTCAAGACTAACTGAGACCCCGCCGAAAGGTAGAAGTTCTTGGAGTGAACCGTACAGAGGCTGAACTAGGGATTGTAACAGAAGTCCTGTGACTAATCACGATGAAAGTAAAGAGTCTGTACAACACATGAACAAAGGGCCACGGAAGAAGTTTTATTCATGTGTTTTCCTAATCACAGAAGGAATGGCATAAACCATACCCCTGAGGAATGTCTTGAGTTTATCAAGCAGTCATTGTCAGACAGACTGAAGTTTCTAGTGTCATTCAAGAAAGTCATTCTGTGTCAACTGCAGCACTTTCTTTGTATCCGATTCAGGAAGCTGATGTACCAGGAATGATAAAGAGTGCAACAGTGTTCTGCGATGGCGGATCCAACACAACATACCGCGCAAATCTGCAGATCGTCTTCGTGCAAAGGAACCGAAACAGTTCACTCTAGATATCACAACAATGGGAAGTGTGAAGAAGACTTACAACACATGTGTGTTGACAGATAAAGGTCAGCGGACTGGTCCAAACTTGGAAGAGAGAATGGACCTTGAACAAGTCATGACCATCTATGATCCTCTGGGTTTCTTAAGCCCAATCACACTTTTCTCAAAGATGTACTTGAGAGAAACATGGATATGGCAACTGGGATGTGATGAGGCACTTCCTCGGAGTCTCCCGGCGAAGTGGATCAAGTTCTTCAAATCTAAGTTCGAAATCAATGATGTGAAGTATGACAGGTGTCTATGCCCAGATGATGCAATTGGAAAGCCAAGTCTTCTCATACTCAGTGATGAAAGCGACATAGCCTATGGATGTGCTGCTTACATTTTGTGGACTCTGAAGAATGGAAGTCACTGGTTGAGATTGATCATGTCAAAGTCAAGGATAGCACCGATCAACAGGGCATTAACACCACAGATTGAACTCAGTGGAGCAGTCCTATCCAAAAGAGTATGTGCTGTGATCAAAAAGAAAAAGACATATGACTTTCAAAGGACACTTCACTTAGTGGTTTCAGAGACTGTCTTGAACACGATAAACAAAACCAGTACAAGGTTCAAAGTGTACGAAGGTGTAAGAATTGGGGAAATTCAAGCTGCTTCGAATGATGACAGACCAATTACGGACTGGAGATTGAAGTTTGATCTGCAACAAGAAGTCATAGTGCCAGGTGAAAAGAAAGTCTGTTCAACGACAACAGCTTTAGCACATGTGTCTTTGATTGACTACAACTAGTTTAGTTTCATCAACAGAGTTACTTGGACTATAGTTTGGGTGAAGAATGTACTCTTGTACAAGTCATTCAAAGGTGGCCATCACATGAATAAAGAATATAATGGTAACAGTTCAGTTGTATGTTTGATAAAATACTGATTGATGTCTTTTTATGGAAGTGTTTAATTGTAACTACACAATTACCATGGCGCATACGTTTATATAATGTACATTTGAATATGGCTTGATTTTATTTATAACAGTAGTTATGCATGCCTGCACTCATGAACATTTTACGTGACGTTCAAATAGGGTGCAACAATTGTCTTGTTAGACCAGAAAGAAACGTTAATGTGACATCCAGTTTCTCACGAAAATGATTAAGTCATATTAAAGTATGATATCAAATCAATGGCAATTTATTAGTTACATTTATTTCAGATTAAGTTTGGTATAAGCCAAGTTGATTTTGGGGTTGTTTTTGTTTGTTTGTTTTGTTTTTGTTGTTGTTTTTAGGTTGGCGAAGGCCAATCCAGAACTTGAATACCGGCATTTCGTAGAAAACTGTGTAAGAGTGGTCGTATGCGAGGGTCTAGCGTTGTCTTGTTGGGACGTCGGTCCAAAGCCAAGTCTCTGCATAAATGGAAGCAGGACAGGTTGCAAAATCTGATCCCTGTACTGGGCAGAATTTAAGTTCCCTCGAACGACAACAAGGGGAGAACGTCCGCGTGCGCAAAATGAACCCCATACCATTACGCTACCGCCACTAAATCTGTCCATTGTTCACCTCGCCTGCGGTACTCTCGGGCCCAGCCGTCGGCAAATCTCAATGTGAATCGAGATTCGTCGCTGAAGACAACCGAATTCCACTGTCTTTGATTGAACCGTATGTACCTTGTGGCCACACCAGTCGGTTGCGGCGGTGAAGAGGCGTTAAAATTGGTCCATTATGGGGTATTCGGGCGCGAATATCAAAGGTTCTTGCAACAGCGACCACAGATTGTCCAGCATCAAGCCTCCCCATAACACGTTGACGTTCTTGATTTGAAAGGCGTGGCATTTCCACACAAAGATTAAAATGAAAAGTTTTTCCATCTCACATTCAATGTGCCTCATGAATTTGCTTTTCACACGTGCATTTCGTGTTTTTCATCTTTATAGACTACAAAAAGGTTTGCACGTGAACTTACAATTTTACGAAATTAAAACATTAACACTGTTTAATATACTTGTAAATTTATTTGATTATACAGAAAAAGAAAAATGCCGAAATTATCAGTCAAGTTTTCAATTTTGCTGAGTATACTATTTGTCATGGTGTCAGTGTATTTAACAATGACTCGTTTTCACACGTGTTTTGTAGTTGAAAACCACGAAACAACCGCAGTTTTCAATATTTTTCCCGACTGTCTGACTGCAAGCTTGCTGCATAAAATCTAGGGTATGTTTGTAGACAGGGGGGTATAGACGAAAAATGACGTCATCATCGAACACCTGGCTGACCTCATTTCACAGGGGTGTCAATGACCGTTGGAAACACATCATAGCATCACACCATGACATCATGCCATTAATTTGGACCAATCAGCATACAGCCAACTCACTCCGGTGTGACTCACCCTGACCGAGGGGTCAATGACCGCGCGCCCCGTGGGAAACACATCATAGCATCACACCATGACATCACGCCATTAATTTAGGCCAATCAGTGTAGAACAACTATTGGGCTGACTGGACCACTGACCACAAACTAGTTTCGTCCGGTTTCAATTTTAAGTATAAAAACCCCTTAATTCAACATCATGCATCACTT